GAAGTCTGGTTTGTAAGTTAAAAACGTCAGTCATAATTATGGTATTTAGACGATATGATATGTGTAGATGAGTTTTTCGGTCACATGTATCAAATGAGTGGTTCAACTTAAGCTTTAGAAAAAAAATACAACTGCTATCAAATAATTATTCAATGACATTTGTCTGCTCACTGTGTGGAATACGTATCATATGATGTCGAGTTGATTAGATGATCTGTTGCACTGCCTATCTTGGTACAGAAACTCTAGTAATCTATTGTGACTATTGCATGGTATCAGATGGCTAACTTTTATAGTTTGCTAGGCTTATAAATCCAAATGAGGCATTTACTTGTGAGTATATAATGAGGATGAATCAAAAGGTCTCAACTATAATTACTATATACCGAATAGCATAGTTTCTCTTGCGTAGCCAACTCATATACAATGGTGAAAAAATTAGTTTGTGAATTTCAGTTTACCGATTTAATCAACACTCGCCATTCAAATTGTCACTTAGAAAACAAATAACATAGTATATACTAAAGTGTATGTGGTGTGAGGAAAGAAACAGAAAGAAACTTGGTGAAAAGATTTTACAACATGCAGATTTGTAAATTATCAGGAGAATTTGCACAACTCTGTAATCCAACTATGAGAAGCTAGTAAGCCATAATTTAACAATGAAATTGGCGATTATATACATATATGTATATATATACATATATATATATATATATATATATATATATATATATCCATCTGAGGAGGAACAGCTCAGTAGATAAACTATTTATTCTCACTGTTTGTTGGTAGATATTCAACATTACCTTTCTTATGGATATGCTTTTCATTGGAGAGATTCATGAATTGACTTTTTTTTCGGAGATAGATTTATTCTAGATACAGAATAGATCCGAAGTCACATTGTATTGAAATCTTTGAGGCAAAACCACCAAGTGTTTCATATATTTACACTAACAACACTAGAAATAATGATTACTTTACATCAGTGTGCAACGTGACTGACAATTCAGATTTTTTGGATAGTCAGCTGTGGTGTACTACTAACCACCACATATCCAGTGCCATTTTGAGGAAATAGTGTGAGATTTACAATCTATTCATTTTTGACACTAATACACCATTCGCTTGCAAATCAAATACATACTGCAGTACGTTTTCCTGTTTTAATGTGCATCTTTTTACGTTAATGATGGATAGCGCCTGGCAGTGGAATCCAGGATGCACGTTTTATCTTTTTTGACTCATCATCTGGATGTTGCTGCATCTCAGTAAGTGGAATTGTTCGTACTTAGGCTTGGACTTAAAACCAATCGCTTCTAAAGTTAAAGCGTTATTCACTAGCCCAATTAGTCCCAAACAGGATAAAACTCACGTCCTCAGCTACTCTGCTAGCCACTATCCATCATTATTATCAAAACTGAGAATACCGACAATGTCCGGGTGTCCACACAGAAGCCCATATGCCAATAGTAGCCGAAATGTACAAGCTATAACATCAAAAGTAATGTACAGTTCAAAAACTACTGTGATTTAGATAAGTAGATAAATAGGTATACAAGTAGTATGCTTTAAAACCCCAATCTCTTTAAAATCCATTCATGTATTCTAGAAATGGCTTCAAAAGTTAGATTGTTAGCGACTCATTTCTGTTATTTCCAAAATTTTAAGCATTTTAATATCTGTTTAGGATACAGTGTTGAATTACAGGCTTCCCTAACCCTCTTGTAAATGTCAACCCTGAAACTGATTTCTCACTACATTTTTGTCTTCACAAATGAAATTATCATTGTGTCGTTGACTTGCATAGTCACAGAAAATAATTTCAGAAATAAATCTTCGGTTTGCAAATAGACAGACAAATACAAAATCGTAGGATTGGTAGTTTAAAGTTGCTGCACTCCACAGCAAAGTAAAAGTAGAAAATGAACATAAGTTGAAGGATATCATGTAGGTATGAAGAAGAACACAAGAACATACAGTAATAAGTTGTTCAAGACTTTGAGATTTCGAAACTAGTGTAGCGCGTCATCAGCTGTACCGACACTGATGGTTTTATTTCATGTCACTTAGGATGTGTAAGAAATTGTTGTCTGACATGTTGAGAAGCATTTTATCCTACAGATATCAGGTCACGATTTGAAGATTTTATATTTTATGCTACTTTCTGGTTGGTTCCATGTAAACCGTTTTCTAACCTAATCCTACTTCAACTAACCCGTAATATCAACGTAGACGGTAGCTGAGCGCTCTCAGTGCGCGACGTAACCATTTAACTCATTGCTTATCTTCATCTAACACTACACCTTAACTTCAACACTGCTCACTCTTTAGTTCCACTTTATATGAATATTAGTTTAAGGGCTATTAAATACTCAAGGTTTTTGTCTGACAGATGCTCAGGAGGATACAAAGAACTCAGCCTATCCTAACTAAGGATTCATCAGTTTATTCTAATTCCTGGTTAGTCACTGGAGAACAATCGACTTCACGTTCTCTGGTCTTAACTGCTGACTGGATTCTATCAATCTTTTTATAGTGTGGTCAATGAGCTAGGAGACTTATCAATGTTTTGCACGTTGAATCGAGTAAGCTGGTTGAAGGCAAGCAACAGTAAGTTCCGCTTGATCTAAGTTTCGTGCTTGTTGACGAGACGCATTTAAAGCTTTGAGAAAACTGGCGTTTTCTGAGAGATCCGAGCCGGCGTCGTTAAGTGCTGCCGCTACGACGGTGTCTTCTGGCTTATTGACTGGGTTTCAAAATGGACGATAAAATTTGGTCAGCACTTATGGCTAGATTACGTAAGATTAGTTACTATTCAGTGAACAATCATTATGTCTAATCTAGTTTTGTAGGTGGTCAGTCATGACCAGAATAGCTCACTGGTAGAGTTTCTTACTGCAGCATTCAGTAAGGATTGTTCTAATCCCTGAGAGAATATCTCTTCCTTGGAATTTTAGATACACTTTATTGAGAATTGCCAACAAGCATGAAACTTACATAAAGTAGTGCTCCCAACCGATTGTCCCCACCAAATAATTTTTATTTTTCATAGTGTTATTATCCAGAATGAATATTTAGTCAACAGATATATATTATCAGACATAGTTTTGCCTATCATACCTCTCGTTGTCTAGGAGAACGATGACTGAATTTGAAAAAAAATTACCTAAAACTTGATGGGAGTCGAATGCTTACCCTTTAAGGTTTTAATATATACATAAAGTTGCACTTTGGGTTACCTGTGTAGATTATTAAAACACAGTCTTGTTTTTATAGACATACATCCAAAGTAATCGAGCAACTTAATTGCCAGTTTACATACCTAGTGAGTTCTTGGCTTCAGTGATAAAAATACGGGTCGCTTTGTATATAATCTGCTGCAAGCAAAGTCACTATCATAAATAATTTCAATTTATTTCTAACCTCTACCCGCATTCAGTATTTTCAGATGATGCTAAACTAATTTATGTTATAAAGATGCATCTGGAAAATATTATTGATGTATTTGTCTACCGGGTTTCGCTATCTTTAGATAGATTTTTGGTATGAACTACATGCTTGTATTTTACGTCTTATTTAGTTTCAAACTAGTCATATTCTTTGGAATTACTATTCAGTGATCCACAGCGACTAAACGCTGTTCAGATTGAATACTTTTACATACATTTTACTGGTAACATCAAGGATACACAAAATCAGATTTTTAAACTTTCAAGCGATTGCCACTAAAATGTTAAAACTAATTACAATGAGCTGAAATATGAACTTGCACTATCTATTTTCAAGTTGCTCACATTTTTACTCTGAACACCTTGAATCATTATGGAAAATGGCAAATAGAAGGTTATGGATATCCACTAGAATTGTTAAACTTTTAAATCAGAGATTCGTTTTATCGAATAAGCAGAAAACTTAGCAGTGTGGGGTCCCCGACAATAGTAAACCGGCGTAGATTTCTTAACCTTCAAATAGTGAAGAGAAACCAATAAGAAAAAGGTTAGATCATGCTAAAAGCAGAACAAATAGGCGTTGAAGAGTGCAATGTTGAGGATATAGATGACAATCAGACACACAGTGATAAAAGTTGGCGATTAGAAATCTCAAGTTGTGCAGCTTAGAATCGATTCACTGTTGAACTTACTTATGTGAGCATATGAATAAAGCGTAATTAGACGCATAAAATGATAACTGAACCTGACCAATGTTTACTGCCTGGTAATCAGTAGTTACTCAATATTTATTTGAAGTGAAATGAAGTTGAAATTTTAGTCAACATATATGAACATGTGGTTGTTTATTTGGTGGTGGCTTACAATGAAGTCACGAATGCGCATTTTGTCCTGCTTGTGACTTATCAGCTAGGTGTATCTGCACCCTACTAAGTGATAGTGTGGCCGCTAAGACTCGAGCACAGCAACTACTACTTTAAGCGCAAAAGCGTTAATCACTAGGGTACTGAGGCACGATAGTTATCTCTTGTGCAATCAGTATCAGTTGTTGTTTACTGATACCTTTAATTTCCCGTTATCATGTTGGGTTAGTTTGATCGGTCTATTTTGACATACGAGCTCAGATGTCAAAAGAGACTAATCGATGCAACTCAGCATAACAACCGGAGATTACAAGTGCCAATAAATAACGTTTGAATATATATGTTTATTGCCTGTCCTTTATTGCTTACAATGTATTAAAAACCTGATGTTCGTTCGAAGAAATTATTTACTCACATTTTACATCAATGAAGCCTAGTCAAATGTCCAAGGGAAAAGTAATGTCCTCGAGCTCTGGAAACCATTTTACGTATAACTATCAAAATATACGAAATACATGCATAGGGAGTTTTATTCCTAAAGCTACGAGTGCGTGAAAAGTAGTTGTGTTCTGAGTTTAGAGTACTTCTCTTTCATGCTGAAGTTTGAAATAGAATTTTGTATTTTTCTGTACAAAGTGATTTCATAATCTTTTTTCGATTTCTTTTTCTCTTACCTATCTAGCACCCGAAATTATCAACTATGATCCTATCACATTTGCTACAGATATGTGGTAAGTTATGTAAAACAGTCTTCTAAGTATATGTAATACGCAAAAAGTTTAATTTGAATGGGACTAGCCTAAAAATAACAACCCCGCTCGGGTTTTATCTTTTTATGTTTAGTCCTTTGTGATCATAGTCATATTTTGATTGAGTGTGCTTTTTTGGCGGTAATGATTCAACCAGGTCGTCTCAATCTAGTTTTCCTTTAGCTCACGCACCATTGGTTTTATATTACTTTTGTCAAACAGTACGATTGTAACGTCAGTAGCAAAAATATAGTCAACTCTACTAAAGACTACTACCTATTGAATAAAAGATGACCATATGTTAATTGGTACTTGGGTTGAATATTTTTGGAAGGGTCTATGTTCATTGCTACGTTTTCATCAGATGACTGCCGAATCTGAAAACTACTAGTAATCCTGATTTACCTGAGAACATTAACCGAAATGAAGCCATAATATTATGTTGCCCCAAAGTGACTTAAACCTGCAATAATGTTAAGCATGACTCATGTATTCAAGTGAATTTTCACTTTGATTATCTTCATTATAAACTACTTTTTTAATTTAGAAGGAGAATAATAATGGCTTGATATCTTTAACGTTCTGATGTCTGCTGTCCGACAATTTGTCAGTGAGATAAATAACTTTAAGAGCACTTTACATATTTTTGCCGCTGTTAGGTAAATACACTGACAGCCTACAAATGTTTTTTGATAGTTTTAAGAAATGGTTTGAAAATTTTTGCAGAAAACTTACACCTTGAGAATCTAGAGAATGCTATGTCAAGTTGACGTACCAATCTTTTTAGGTTATGAATTCTGGTTAGAGCCAAGTTTTGAAGTATTGGCTTTGTTGATGTGGCGTAAAAAGCAATCGAAGGTGATAACTGTAGACATTGGTAAGGTGATTTTAGAGTCTATAAACAAATGATCATATATTTTTGTTACTTCTTTATGCTTATATAAAAGTCCTTATTGTAGTATAACTGCTTAACACCTATTTATAAAAGCTCAAATATAACGATCCGGGTAGAATGGTAGTCATACCAACACCTACGTCGGTTAAACATGTCTACCTAGTTTTCAGCATTTTAGTGTTACTCACTTGAACATTTTGAGAGTAAGGGAAGTTTTTAAATGTCGGGAATAAGCGTCGAATCCTTTCTGATAAATGTGCTGGATTTTTATTTCAATGAACAGGTATCCAGTAGAAGATAACTATCTGTACCTAAGCAAAACAGGTTTCATTGATCATGGTTTGCGTACAAAATGAAGGTTTACTTTCATTTAAGGTTGTTTACTTTCTATAAGTTCATTGTTTGAGCTGGTTGATTTTGTATCTAATTAGGCTTATAAGCTTCCATCTTGCTTTCGCTTCACTTGACAATCTAACAAGGAACGGTTCAAATGTATCACATTCTAAATCAATCATAAAATGGGACTGGATCTTTTAGTCAGTTTGCAATCTTAGATATATCTATCGATATCTTTGAAGTTAATTAAAATGATGAAGCTATTTGGGTATTTAGAACAGACCTTCCTAACAAGTTGTAGTTTTCTAGTGTTTTCGAAGTGGAAAACAATGGAAATTAAAAGAATTTTGGTAGTGTAAGTTAAACCAACTCCGTAGGAAATGTGAAGGTTGCCTTTCACACGTACCAACGATAGTCTATTGTTTATAGTTTTACTTGGTAATGTAGATCTACTTAGTGAAATCAGAGAGTATTTACAGTTTCTTCACACTTAGACTAAGCACTAGATTCAAAAAAATTATATTCAGTTTATAAAGTGAATAAAATGAATAAGCGACTTTTCTACCACCGTATTCCAACTTGATACGTGAATGGTAATGTGACCACCATTAAACCTGACAGAATGATATCAGTACATGTTTAAAACTACCCTGAAGCGAATCAGTCTTCACAAACTACCGGTAGCATGAGCTGTTTCATACACGATTTCACTTTTAGGGACTTGAAAAGATCAGGAACAAAAATACGAACAGGATAAATGGTCCCATTATGTTTCGATGGTGTTTTGTCGACTGCTTACATACATACTGCTTTTATACACAATCCAATGGACATTTCACCAATAAAAATAACAAGAGTAACAATCCTAATAGAGAGACTTAACCTCACGAGATTAGGTAAGTAGGTTATATGACAAATAAGTAGAAACTGTAAAATATTGTGAGTTAAGCTCAGTTAGATGATAAAATTATTTATGATGATGCAACTAAATAGTAGTAAAAGGATAATTATCGAAGGTTGATAAAGGATGATGTGATCAAATAGCAGTTAAAACTGGTTACCAAGTTAGACAGAGGTTGATTGTAACTTCTCTTTGAATACATGAATCAGGTTTGAGGCGTTTAATGGCTACGGCTTCAGTAAACGTCAGGAGAATTGAGCTCATATCGAGTGCTTTTAGCTAATTGAGCTTAATTCGCAATATTTTTGAGTTTTTGCTTGTTTGTCATACAACCTACTTAAGTAAACTCTACCAATTTATCATAATTAACATTCAGGCAATATCGAGGTATCCGCATAGGAGTCCATATGCCAATAGAGGTGGAACAATTCGATCCAACAAAACAACGGGGAATAACAAGAATGTCAATAAATAGTAATAACTACTACCCGTTGTACAAGAAGTGGCTATCGTTCCTCCGTGGCATAGTGGATAATGCCTTGCCGTTTGAAGCGATGGGTATGAGGTTCGAGTCCCAGTGGGAACAGCATCACTGGGGTGCAGGTACACCCAGCTGAGGAGTCCTAAATAGGACCAGACACGCATCCTGGATTGTTCTGCTAGCCACAACCAACCAGTTTGTCATAATTAACATTCAGGCAATATCGAGGTATCTAGCCAATATGCCAATAGAGGTCGAACATTTCTATCCAACAAAACAACGGAGTATGTCAATAAATAGTAATAAACTCATAATGTTAAGTTTCTCTATTCGGAATGTTATAACTGTTGTTATTTTTATTGGTGAAACTTTGTCTGAATTATGTACATAACTGTCTTGTTATGAATGAGCTTTACTCCATAAACATTTCCGTCTATCTCAACCACTGACCGATGATCTGTTGTCTCTCAGTGGATTAAAGTATGCTTTATTTTCAGCAAAACTGGGTATTTTGATATTTTAGACCACCGAAATAGAATGAGCTGTGTTGGATCACAAGGTAATATAGACAAGATTGTGGATTTTATGTATGAAGTTCTACAGGAAACCGTAACATCTCACTAGATAATTGAATTTCAGGTCATCCTACTCAGTATCACTTTAGGTGACTTTGATAAAAGCATGATGTTATCAAACTAGAAGCCTGACCACTGGGGTCAAGGATCTAATTAAGTGGAGGGAAAATGAAGAAAAACAATTATACTCTGAAGTTTATTCAAAGGTCATCAGAACAGATAAGAGAAAAAAAGGTAGTACTGCCTAGACAAAGTTCGATGCCTCCGTAGTATTATTATATGTCCCTTGAGATCCTAGTGGAACATAGGGTTTCAGTAGCACGCCTCCATTCCACTCTCTTCTCTGCTGTCTTTTGAACCTCTACGCAGAAGCTTTCATTTCTTCCTCACACGACCTCCATGTTACACAACTCGTCTTTTCCCCTTTGGATTCCACTCGACTGCCTGGCATGGCCTGGCGCGTGATGTCCACAATCAGCCCACTCAGTGTTTGCCAAATCCATCTCCACTTTCTTCTATATATTTGTTAGGCGAAAGGTTGTTGACTGGTTCGTTGCCAGCCAGCCTGCCAGCCAGATTTCCTTGTTGCTTATTCTCTTTATTCTGGCCACCTGATGTTCAGCATCAGTATCGAGTGAGTGTAGGTGGCAGTTGTTGATGAATGTCTGTAGTTTGTTGGGAATGCTTTTCATAATGCGCCAAGTTCCTGAACAATCACACAGAAGCACTGACTTCACTGACATTAGTGTTGAAAATCCGGATCTTGTTCATGCTTCATGCTGAGTGCAGTGCAGTGGATCTCCACACTGGTTTCAGATTGATGAAGGCCTGTTTTGCTTTCCCGGTCCTGGCTGCTTTGACGTCCTGATCTATGCCACCGCCGCCTGTAGTTGAAACGATGCTGTCTTGTATAGGTAGGTGAAAGAGACTACTTCGTTTAAGTTTCTCCTGTTGATGGTGATTGCTGCTTGTCGTTGATGCTGTTGTTGATTGGGTATCTTCATCACCTCTGTCGTCTCAACGTCCACCTGAAGGAAGTCTCATCTTTGCTGCCTCTTCTGTCAATTTGTTAGTTTTCTCCTGTAGATCTTCAAGTTTGTGGGACAAGATATTAGAGATAAATCATCGTGGGCGAAATCCAAATCTCCTAGGGTCTTTTCACCAGTCAAACAGCGTGTGCCACTCTTCTCGCTCCTCATGGTTTGGTGCATGATCCAGTCCAGTGGACCGCAATCAGGAAGATCCTGTGTGATAGTAGGCGGCAACCTTCTCTTACCCCAGTCTTCACTTCAAAGGCGTTATTTAGCCTTCCATTGTGAATCACTTGACATGTAGCATTGTCATGTAACTGTTGAATGAGGTTGATAAAGATTTGTGGCACTGAAACCGTGGTGTTGAAGCAACTGCCTGCTAAATTACTTGTTGGTCAACGCTGTCGTAGGCCTTTTCAAAGTCTATGAAGTTGAGGTTGAGTTGAGTTGACTGCCATTCTATACTCTGTCCTATGATGACGCGTATCGCAGCGTATCAATTTGGTCCGTGAATGATTTGTGCTTCCATGAGTCAGTCAGTCAGTCAGCCAGCCAGCCTGTTCTGGTTGTAATTTTGAATCCCACACATCTTTTGGTCTCTCTGGGATGATGTGGCATAGTATTTTGTTTGTGTTGGGTGGGAGTATGATTCCGTGCCAGTTCTTGCAATCTATCTGCAGGTTCCTTTCCTTCCTTCTCTCCTTCCAAACCTTCTGCAGTAGTGGTGTGAGCATGTCTCTGTGTCTGTTTTCAGTGCTTGTGG